CCTGCTCCCTCCTCGGCTCGCTTCGCGGCCCGGGCGACTGGCTGCAGGAGAGCGACCAGCGGGCAGCCCGGCCAGAGCCCCGCGCGCTTCGTGCCCCGATTGAGCACGAGCCACCCCCGCAGGGTGGCCCCGCAGGGTCTGTCCAGCAGCCAGGCAACGAGCCGCCCCGCGTCCCCCTCCCCTCGGACTCTCGGCCTCTTCTCACCCAGTCGGGTGAGTTAGTCTTTAAAGTGCTACATTGTCCTGCATTTTGCTCCAGCAGGGAGAGTTGCAGAATAACCCGGCCAGGAGCCCACCTCCATGGTTACAGCCACATCCTCCAGGGTGGCTGCCACATCGGGGGACCCGTGACCCTTTGTCTTTCCCCTACACATTGAAAGGGGCTCTGCAAAGGAAAATATCACAACCCTGCCAACTTTTTCGTTTCCTTACTGTGCTCAAAGACAGCTCTCAGTCATTCTGGAGATTCTGGGGGGAAGGTTGAGAAAGAAAGTCCTTTTCCCCAGCCTCTAGTTACTTTTCCGCTAGAACTAGTAGGTTTTGTGGGGCCTGATTTTGCTGGGGAGGACTGGGGAGAACTGAAGAATTACTGGGATTATGACATTACAAGAAAATGAAATCTAGGCAATTCTAGAAGAACGGAGCTTTAGTCAGACAGGTTTAAACTCTTGTGTTTGTTATGGGGTATTTATTCCAACTGCCCAAATATAGTTGGCTAGATGCTTTATTTGGAGAAGCGGTAATCTTTACTCCACAAATGAGGGCAGAGAAAGCTCCAACTCTAGATTTCTAGTCTTCCAAGTAGGGTTCAGCCTCCTCTCCTTCTCCCCTCCCCCCCCCCCCCCCCCCCCCAAAAAAAAACAGGGAAGACAAAAAACAGGAAAGACAAAATTTGACATGACATTTTTAAGGATAAAAATGTTTCAAGTCCTTCATTATATGTCAATACAAACAATACAAATACATCTCCTTTCGGGGTTGAAGAGTCACCTTCAACTCACTATGTGTTTTCCTGTGATTGTCATGTGAGTTAGCTACTGCACTTACAGCCAGAATGGCTCAATATGGTTGTGCTTGCAGTCCTCCTTTAAAGAAAGTGTTATCTGCTATGCTTTAATTAGTGACTTTAAGGATTCCCCAGCCCACTATTTCCTCACTTGTTGATTTAATGCTTCTTTCCATCAGACCTTATTTGCTAAGTTGTTAACATTTATGTTAAAAACAGCTGCCAGAAATAGTTTATTGTTTGATTGATTCTATAAGCAAACAACAGAATGACACAAGAGATTAATTCAAGTAGGGGTACTTGCACATATGCAATCAATTGATTATTGGCACTTAAAGAATAGTTTTAGTCCCAAAATACGTTGAGTTCATCAGTAGAGAGCCAACTGGAAAAGCTGGAAAAAATGACTTTGGGGTGCTAAACCACAGATTCTGAAGAACATGGAAGAGGGAGACAGAGACTGCTCGGCTACGTCTACACTGGCCCCTTTTCCGGAAGGGGCATGTAAATTTCACCAGTCGTCGTAGGGAAATCCGCGGGGGATTTAAATATCCCCCGCGGCATTTAAATAAAAATGTCCGCCGCTTTTTTCCAGCTTTTAAAAAAGCCGGAAAAGAGCGTCTAGACTGGCCCCGATCCTCCGGAAAAAGCGCCCTTTTCCGGAGGGTCTTATTCCTACTTCAAAGTAGGAATAAGACCCTCCGGAAAAGGGCGCTTTTTCCGGAGGATCGGGGCCAGTGTAGACGCTCTTTTCCGGCTTTTCTAAAAGCCGGAAAAAAGCGGCGGACATTTTTATTTAAATGCCGCGGGGGATATTTAAATCCCCCGCGGATTTCCCTACGACGACTAGTGAAATTTACATGCCCCTTCCGGAAAAGGGGCCAGTGTAGACGTAGCCCTCAGGAATAGAATGAACCCCTGTTTCCAGTGGTTTGGGAGTCTGAAGTAAAATGAGCCTACCAAAGCTATAAATAACAAAGAAGTATGTGCAGAAGTTTTCTCCCTTGTTTTGCTTTCCTTCTACTGTTGAGATTAAACAATACTTTATTTGGAAAAGTCTTTTGGTCACAGCTCCTGAAGGGAAGACTTTCACGCATCATATCCAGTAAGGAAGCAGATTGCACGCAAGATGCTGTGAATGAAAGTACCTGGTCTAAGAGTAGAAGAACTGCAGAATTCCATCCTGAGAGAAGGGAAGATACTGGGCATTTCCCATATACTCTTACTCTGTGAACCCATTCATTACTAAAATAAGGGCCAGTAACCTATGCCAAGTTTTCTGTTTTCACTCACACACTCAACCATTTATATGCTACTGGTCAGAAGTTTATGCAGGGGAGAGTTCGGGTATTATGTATCAAAAATTGTTTTTTTAAATCTTTTAATCTGCATGTTTGGCTGTATTTTTTATACAACAGATAATCTGGGTAGTTAAACTCCCCATAAGTATGATAGCCTGTGGTTGCAAATACTTGGATAGTTGATTCTGGAAGATTTTATTTTCTCTCCTCCAATCCTGATAGCCATTATTTTTAATTACTTGTGTGTTAATTCATAGTTTTTACCACCACACTCATCATGGTTAATGTATGTGATCTCATGGGTACTGAAAACACTTTTGACATATGACAATCCTCCCCTCTTTTTCTGTCTCTGTTATTGAATGTAGGCTGCACTTATCCATACTGATATGACATTTATGATAATCTTACATTCACTCATTTAAAAAAATAAATCTCTCATTTCCAATATTTCTGCATGTGTATACAGATGCTTTAATGCACAAATGCTATATTTTTCACAGCCATTTTATGTCAAATGTGCCTCTGTGATTAGCTGAATTAGGAAATAAATCCCTTTTTCTGTCTTTGAGCTAAAGACCACCTAAAATAATCCTGTAAATTTGAAATCTTGGAGGGCAAACTCCCTCCTTCTTAAATGGAGGTTTAAATCCAAGCAAACTTTTAACCTAAAATTTCCAATATTCAATGAATACAAATAGTTCTGCTCTCTATATTATCCCACCTGAACAACCAAACAGCAAACCATTGCTACTTAGCTCAGTAAATACATCCACCTGTCAGAAACACTCACTCAGTCCTCCCTAGTCTTTTCCACATTCACTAAAAACTGTCAGATTTGGGTTCTGGCAAACTTTAGTGAGTTCCCCTAAGAATATCCTATTGCTGATCTTAGAAAGGTTTACTCTTTCTAGCTGAAAAGCAAAGCATCTTCCCTAGTCTTTGCCAACATAACAAGAAATGAACTAAATGGTTGTTTTTCAGGTATCCAGATCTCAGACCATTCAAGGCTTTAAGGATTGCACTCAACACCCATAACTAGCAGCTAGAAATTAATGAATAACCTTTTTTTAAGGTCCCATTATTCCATCAGTTTTAGAAGATGGATACTTACCCTAAACACTAGCAGAAACATCTGGTTAGTCTACAGAAGTTTACTTAGGATAAATATATTATGGGAATCCATCACGGTGGTGACAAAAGCAAAGATTATAGTAGCTGAGTCAGGATAGGACAGGAAATTCCTCCTCCTCTTGGTCAGTCACATACAAAAATAGGTTTCAAAGCTCACTTACAGGAACTGAGAATCCAAAAGCAGCAAAGGGCCCAGAGAAGCCTTGAAGCTGTGAGCTGCCTTTGTGGGGGGGGATCCATCCACTGCTCCAGGTGCCTCCTCTGCCTGCTAATATGGTAGTTGGTACACTGATTTTTCAGCCCATAAAATAGAATAGGCAGCTCTCAGGCATCCTTTCATCCCAGGGCCATCTTTATGAGATTTTATAAAGAAGTCCAAATAGAACAACATCAGCAGTAGTTGTAAAACCAAGACAGGAATTACAACCAACAATCTCCATTTACAGACCTATAGGCAAAGCTCCTGAGTCTCCCAAGTACCCCTTTATATTTTTCCCACTTCCTCTAATAGGCCAGGGGTAAGAGGCTGAAGAATTAATCCTTTGGAGTCTGGTCTAAGGAGTGCCCTTGGAACCTGTCACGTATCACTTACGTCTTGTCTGGAGAGAGACTCAGCCAATTTGTTGATATTCAGTTCCCAATTCCATTTAAATACTCTAAGAATCTAGAGACTACAGATTCTGGGTTCAGTAAGAAGGCGACAGCAGATCATCATCAGCATGTCAATGATACTGCATCTCCCAAAGACCTCATTATATTCTCTGTATACATATATTTTGAGAGGTAACAAGAAGGAGCCATGTGGGGCATCACATATGGGAGCCCTGGGTGAGAAGAAAATGGAAATTCACTCAAGAGCTCTCTGAAAGGAAAGGAGAAAAAAATCAATTCTAAAGCAGTCTTATCCCACTGACAAGTCAGCAGTGCCTTGAGAACAATGTCATTAAAGACAGCTGACAGCTTTAATAATATCATTGTGTACACCTTACCTTCATCCATCACTCAGCACTCCTCAGCCAGAGACATTATTACAAACACACACAGATGCAATTTCTTTGGGGATATACTGGCTGATAAACCTCTTGGTTTGAACCACAGTAGAAGATGGTATTTAATATTATACTCTATAACCCATGAGCAGTGTTGTCAACAAAGAAAAGCTACTTCAATAAGAATTGAGCCAACAGAACCATTCATCTCACTCCTCTCCTTTCAGGTAGCACTGCTGCTTTGTTTCCTGCTCCCAGGCTTGGGTCTATTCTTGCTCAAGTCAATAGCAGCGCTCCCACTGACTTCAGTGGTGCAAGATGAGGCTGTGAACGATACTGCTTTTTATGGCTTGCTGAAAACTTAATTTATCTCTCTGCAAAACAAAAGCTAACCTACAAAAACAACATGGATTATCTCCAAACTGCCAACATACTTTGGACAGGATTATTGTTTCCCCAGTAGAACAGAAACAATCACAGCAATTGTAGTTGAAACAAAATGCTGCCCCTCAACACCCACTATAAAC